TCAGAGTATGAATATTGAATATGATTTTGTAGAATTGACCATTAATATCTAAGTCTTAAGTAGAAGCAAGTATTTTTCTGGCATTTCCAGTCTTGTGTGATGGCTTACTGATGCATTAAATCTGTTTTTAGTTGTTAATGTCTAAATCATCAAGTTCTCAGATTAAAAGGAGAAATTAGACCCAGAGACCCAAAAGACAGGCATGCTGGGCAAATTTTAGAGTTGCCAAAGATTTACAGTTTTTGAAAAGCAGATCTTTTGGTGGGGGAAAGTTTGAAACACTTTTAAAAATCATATTGCAACACTTCCTGGAACTCTGTGTGTGTCAATGGTTTTCTGATTTTTTTTTTTTCTTGAAGATGAAAAGAAGAAAAACCATTGAATATACTATCTGAAACACTTGGTCAGTCACTATTAAGAACCAACAAATGAGTTTTATACCTACTATGTGCTGGCTGATTCCCCCAGTGTTTATTCTTCAGCTGTGATGGGCATTTTTTTTTTTTATTAAGTGTTACAAATGAAGGAGAAAGCACAAAGAGATACAGTGATTTGCCTAACCAATGTCGCACACCTGTGAAATTTGATCATTTGAATTGGGTCCTTCTTGTTGTATCCAACTACTAAACCAGAGTTGAGAAGTCAGGGGAAAAAGCAGGCCGGGCACGTAACATTGCTCCAAAATTCAGTTATCTGCAAGCCTGGCTGCTGAAACTGCCTAGTAACTAGTTTTATCTAATGGCTTCCGAAAAACCTGCTGCAACAAAAAGAAGAATTTTACCCACCATGGTCACTCACCAATCAGAGCTTGCCAGCTCCCCAAAACTCGACTAGTGCCAATGAACTTTCTAGAAAAACAATATGTAACATTTCTCCTTCTAATAAAACCTACAACTTCCTCTTCATTCTTTGGACATAGCGAGGACCACCTGGTGTGTGTATTGCAATTCTTTTTTCCTTGTTTTTTGAGACAGTGTCTCACTCTGTCACCCAGGCTGGAGTACAGTGGCACGATCTCAATTCACTGCAGCCTCCGCCTCCTGGGTTCAAGTGATTCTCCTGCCTCAGCTTCCCAAGTAGCTGGGACTACAGGCATGCGCCACCACACCTGGCTATGTTTTGTATTTTTAGTAGAGACAGAGTTTCACCATGTTGCCCAGGCTGGTCTCGAACTCCTGACCTCAGGTGATCCGTCTGCCTCAGCCTCCCAAAGTGCTGGGATTAACGGCATGAGCCACCATGCCCGGCCGCAATTCTTATATATCAAATAATACGTTAAATGTAGAGATTCATCTCTCTCTCTCTCTTTTTATATATATAAATATATATTTATTTATATATATTTATATATATTATATAATATTTTTATATTATAAAATAAAAATATATATATTTATTTATTTTCTTTTTTCTTTTTTTTTGAGACGGAGTTTCGCTCTTGTTGCCCAGGCTAGAGTGCAATGGCGCCAACCTCCGCCTCCTGGGTTCAGGCGATTCTCCTGCCTCAGCCTCTCGAGTACCTGGAATTACAGGCATGCACCACCATGCCCGGCTAATTCTGTATTTTTAGTAGAGATGGGGTTTCTCCATGTTCGTCAGGCTGGTCTCGAACTCCTGGCCTCAGGTGATCCTCCAGCCTCCTGGCCTCCCAAAGTGGTGGGATTACAGGTGTGAGCCACCGTGCCCAGCCTCAACTCTACATATTTTATTTGAGTTTGACACATCTGTAGTAAGTTTTTCTGTACACTAAGTTCAGAGTTGTGGCAGAGACTTAACTTCTAAGTGTCCCATTTGGGGAGTTTTTCTTTAATTCTTGAATTTGAACATTGCCAGGAGGGAGGGATGAGCTTCACAGTGCAGTCCCCAGGACAACCGCTTCCCGTGAGCCTCAGCAGAATGATGGAGGGTCCTGCCTTGGGGAGCCACACGGAGATGGGGGCAGAATTTAAAAGGTGGCACCACATGGTGTCCTGCTGGCAGACTCTCCTCATGCAGCCCCTTAGAATATATTCCTAGAAAGAGTTGTCTGCAAAGGTGTCAACTCTCTAGGCTCCGAGGGTATCCATCGTTATTCACCATGATTTAGAGGATCACTTCTTCCCAGTCCCCTGCATAGCTCTCTAGTCAAAGAAATGTAAAATTTTGAATTTTTGAACTTTGAAAGGGGGACAGTTTACTTTCACTACATTCTATGTGCTAGTGGCCGTCAACTTTAGAAACCCCTTTTATTCCCTTCCTCCACCCCCTTATCCCAGTTTTCTCTTTTCTTCAGCTCAGATACTGGAAAAGTCCATAGCAAGAGCAGTTCTTAAGGCATGTGCTAGAAGGGAGGGGGCTAGGAGGACAGCCATATGTCTGTCTGAGGTATGGGACTTCGGCTAATATGCGCAGACCAGTGGCTTTTAAACTTGATGGGCAAGTTTTTAAAAATTGCCTGGGAGGCTGAGATGGGCAGATCATGAGGTCAAGAGATCGAGACCATCCTGGCCAACATGGTGAAACCCTGTTTCTACTAAAAATACAAAAATTAGCTGAGTGTGATGGTGCACACCTGTAGTCTCAGCTACTCGGGAGGCTAAGGCAGGAGAATCGCTTGAACCCGGGAGGTGGAGGCTGCAGTGAGCTGAGATCGCACCACTGCACTCCAGCCTGGTGACAGAGTAAGACTGCCTCAAAAAAAAAAAAAAAAAAAAAAAAAAAATTCCCGAGGAGATTTGTTTAACATGCAGACTCCCCCAACACCAATTACCCTAGTCCTGCTCCCAGAGTATCTGACTCAGGAGGTCTAGGGTACACCCCTGGTACCTGCATTCGATACTAACGTGAATAAGTTCTGATAACCCTCTACCATCGGACCAGCCTGGCACTTGCATTTGAAACAAGCACCCCAAGGGATATTTACACAAAAGATCTGTGGACCACAGTTTGAAAATTTCTTCCCAGATTTGCATGTGAGTTCTAGAGAGAGGGCACAAATAGAAAATGAAAAAGTAGGCTTTAAAGGAAATCTCTATAAGACTTGGGCAATACTTCATTGCAATCTATGCCAGCTCATGGCAGAAGAGGGTGGTGTTTGGGAAAGGGAAGTGATTTAATTCAGCAGGACACCTTCAGTGGGGCTGGTCCAGAGTGAATTCACCACCATCAGTGGGCAGCAATAGCAAATGCAAGCTATAGCAAATGCAAGAAGCTGCATTGGCAGCAATGGTGGTCACAGCGAAGATTTCTGGGTGCCTCTCTGGAGAGGAAGAAAAAGGATGACCTCCATGTGGTGGTCAGGAGTTGTTTGACATGAGCTCAAGGCACCCCTAGGACCTCCCAAAAGGATTACAGGAGGAGTTTGAGAGGAGAGGGTCTTGAGAATTTTCAGTAAGGCTTAACCAAGCTTGCTCTAATGTTGGGAAATGCTGAGCCGAATTCTCTACTGGTGAGGACTAGTATTACGACACAGTTGTTAAATTGAACCCTGATTGTGGGCTGAGTCCTCTGCTTGACGTTGTCCCTTTAAGAGCCTGCTATGTCTCCCCTGTTCTCTTTTTTTTTTTTTTTTTTTGAGACGGAGTCTCGCGTTGTGTCACCCAGACTGGAGTGCAGTGGCGCGATCTCGGCTCCGCCATTCTCCTGCCTCAGCCTCCGAGTAGCTGGGACTACAGGCGCCCACCACCTCGCCCGGCTAGTTTTTTGTATTTTTAGTAGAGACGGGGTTTCACCGTGTTAGCCAGGATGGTCTCGATCTCCTGACCTCGTGATCCACCCGCCTCGGCCTCCCAAAGTGCTGGGATTACAGGCTTGAGCCACCGCGCCCGGCCTATCTCCCCTGTTCTCTATCGTCCAGTCCCTCCCACCACCTTCCCCAGTTCTCATTGTTCTCCACATTCCTCAGCCTCAAGCTTCTACTCGACCAATCCTACCCCACAGATGTTAACCGAATCTTCACAGTGTTCCCACCCTGTTGGGGTTATTTAGGGAGATTGTTCTTAGAAGCACCAAGTGTGTCCAGAAATATCTTGAGAGAAATTCTGATGCTGTTAAGATAGAAAAGAATGTTTCCCTAATGGCCATATCACCTCTATCTTAGATGATTGTTAGGAAGATCCAAAATGGCCCAAATTCATGAAACCAACTCTAAGTGGGGATATAAATGTTGAAGATGATTGGAGTAAAGCTTCAAGTTCTAGCTCCTTTAGCCAGCTGCATAGATTCAAGAATGCTCCTCTGCAACTGGGACCCCATAATGACACCCTTAGCCTACCCTGCTCCTTAGACCCTGTGACAGACACAAATCAGTACCAGGTAGGTGGCCAGGCATAAACTTGTGCGGCCATAAGCATCCTGCATGTTAATATTCGCTCCCATCTTCAACAGCAGCTTCACTGTGTCCACTTGACGTCCAGAAACCGCATGCATCAAGGGCGTGCATCCTGGAATGAGACATTTCAACAGCCTTTAAACATATTTGACCCATGAAACTGATGATCAGGCTTTATTGGCCTGTTCATTTATTTTGCTGTTTGCAATACAAACCCAGCTGTTTGTATGAGACTGAAGGGAGATAAAGCTGATTGTTGCTACATCTCTATAAACTATGTATTTTTTTTACGGGCTCTTTACAATCTTTTGCAATTTTGCAATAATTGGCTGAGTAAAACATTTTGGGTAGATGATAAAAATTGCTTATGACTGTGTCAGGGATCAGCCTAGTTTAAGACATAACAGATTTATCCTGACTTAGCTTGAACAATGTAGCATCTGGGAGTGCTTTTGGAAAGCCGCTCTATCTGAGATGGGTTCAGCACACTTTCATTGGAGGTGGCGGGTGCTAAGGGACAGCAACAGTGCCCAGCCTTGGATTGCACAAATTCTTGTTGAAAAAGTGGCCACCTGTACTGAAATGCTTCTCTGTTTTCAGAATCAATATAGGCCAAGGCATTTAGTTTTTTATGTGTTTTCTTCCTGAATAAAAATAGAGATGAAATTACACATTCTGATGAACTTTGCAGGGCTGTTGGAACAAGCCAGCCTCATGAGGCAGGATCCAGGTGCTTCTCATTCCTTCAGGTGAAGAAATCAAACCTCAGATTCACCGCTTGCCCAGCTGAGACTTGTGTAGATGTCTTTGGATTGGAGATTGTGATTCTTCTCCAGATGAACTGCAAGCTATGACCCTGAGACATCCCCGAGAAAGGGTAAATCCCAAGATTTCTGTTTTCACTGAAAGAGCACCGAGTTCAGAGTTGTGGCTGAGTCTTAACTTCTAAGTGTCCCTTTTGCCAAAGTTTTCTTTAATATTTGAATTTGAACATTGCCAGGAGGGAGTGATGAGCTTTGCAGTGCAGTCCCTAGGACACCAGAAATTGAGCTGTGGTCGGCAACTCAATTTGTCTCCAATTTTTTTCCTTCTAAAACTCTTTCAGTCATCTGTACTGGGAAAAAGCAGCAATGAAGTGCTATGTCTTAAAATAGTTGCAAAATTTCCTTCCTTTCCCTTCCTCCCTTCCTTTCTTCCTGTCAACAAGTGGTAATTATAACTATTGAGAGAAAAAAAGGACATGCTGCAAAAGGCAATTATTGAAGCAATCTGTGAATCTGAAATACTCAGTAAGTAAAGCTAAAGAATCCCTAGATAGGCCAGGTGTGGTCACGCCTGTAATCCCAGCACTTTGGGTAGGCCGAGGTGGGCAGATCTCTTGAGGCCAGGAGTTCGAGAACAGCTTGGCCAACATGGTGAAACCCCGTCTCCACTAAAAATACAAAAAAAAAAAAAATTAGCTGGGCATGGTGGCACGCATCTGTGGTCTTAGCTACTCAGGAGGCTGAGGCAGGAGAATCGCTTGAACCTGGGAGGTGGAGGTTGCAGTGAGCCGAGATTGTGCCATTGCACTCCAGCGTGGGTGACAGAGAGAGACTCCATCTCACAAAAACAAAAACAAAAACAAGAAAAGAATCCCTAGATACTGTTTTCATAAAATTACATGCTATGTCTAGCTAATTTACATCTATCTTGAGAGCCTAGCTTACATATAAATTTCTTCAGGGAACACCTTCTTGACCCTCCATTGTGAACTGGATGTCCATGTTATAATTTTTCATCATCCTTCATTTTTCTCTAGTAACGCTTTTAATATTTTATAATCATGTATTGATTGAGCATAATCATGTGTTTAAAATTTGTCTCTTCTAAGCTATAAATTCGAAGTGGAAGGAACCACATCTCTCATGCTCATCATTGAATCCTCAGTACCAACCACTGTATCTGGTACCGGGAAGATATTAAACAGCAATTCTGAAATGCATAACCAAATGATTACTGAACTAATTTTTTTTTTTTTTTTTGAGACACCATCTTGCTCTGTTGCCCAGGCTGGAGTGCAGTGGTGTGATCATGGCTCCCTGCAGCCTTGACCTTCCAGGCTCAAGCAGTCCTTCCACGTCAATGTCCCAAAGTGCAGGGATTATGGGCATGAGCCACTGCATCTGGCCCAAGTATTTCTTAAGTTTAAAATAATTTTCCTGACGTGTCTCTAACTGAGGTTTAGGGAGGAATGACAGATTTATCTCCAAATTGGGTTCCAAAATTTATTTTAAGTTGGTACATTTGTCCTTGTAGAAAATAGAAGGAAAAAAACCCTCAAAATAAAACAAGTAAGAGAGTACAGCATTGTTCCTGTATATAAAATTCATATATAAAAGAAAAGGTCTTCCTTAAACAAAAGCAATGGGAAAAGTAACAAAAAACAATAGCAACAACAAAAATAAGGTACTTAGAAATAAATCTAACTGAAGAAGAGCAAGACTTATGTGGATAAAAAGTATAAAACTTATCGGGTGACACAACAGAAGAACTAAACATGCGAAGACATACTATGTTTATGACGGAGAAGACTCTATAATAGAGCCATCAATTTCCTGAAAATGAATCTATACATTCATTGCAGGTCTAATAAAAACTCAGCAAAGCTGTTGTGAAACTTGAAAAAAATCCTAAAATTTATCTGGAAGTTTAAAGTGCCAAAAAAATTTCAAGACAATTTTACAGTAGAACTAAAGAGGATTATTGCTTTTTGAACCAACAAGATTATAAAGCCATGGTAATTAAAACAATAAATATGTCAACAGAACAGAGGAAAAAGTTCAGGAAATACTTAGACCTATCGAGGAACTCAATATATGACCAAAGTGTCATCACAAATCAGTAGGAAAAAAAAGGTATTCAATAAATGGTGCTGAGAAACTGGCTATACAAAAGAGATACATTAAAATTAGATCTAAAATTCACATCATACATAAATACTTTCCAAATATGAAAAGCAAAATTTAACAACTTATAAAATATATAGACGAATATATTTTATAACATTAAGACTAGTAAGGCCTTACTGAAGAAGACATAAAAACTGCAAACTATAAAGAAAACATTTTATTAAATTAAATTATATTCAAATTAAAATTTTCTGTATTACATAAGATCCCATAAATGAAATGAAAAGGCCAGCTACAGATTGGGAGGTTATTTTAATTCATAAAACCAAGAAAAAATTATGAGCTTAACTAAATAAATAACATCAATAATTGAATCAGAAAGAAATAAACAATGTAGGAGCAATTTGAGAGACAGCAGACACAAGCCAATAAACATATGAAAGATTATAAATCTCTCAAATAATTAGAGAATACATATTTCTACATTTCTCAATGTCATTTCTCAATGACATTCATACGTATTGGATTACCAATTATAAAACATCTGAAATGCCAGGTGTTGTCAAGGATTTGGGGAACTCTTACATACTGTTGGTTAAAGTATAAGTTGGGACAACCAGTTTGGGGGATAAATGTGGCAACATTTCATAAAATTATAGGTGCTCATACCTTATAACCCTGTAATTCCACTTCCAAGTTTATTTCATAAAGAAACTTTCACAGTGATGAACAAAGAGATATAATCAAAGATGATAATGAAGAATTAAACAAGAAATGGCATAAATGAATGTTAATAGAGAAATACATAAATTATGTTAGATTTAGGCAAAGAAGTGTCATAGAGCAATAAAAATGTCCAAGTTAAGTTAATCCAGATCCACTTGAGTAAATCTTGAAGACATAATTTTGAGTGAAGAAAGCCAATTGCAAAGATATACACTATTATTTATGTAAATTTTATAAATCAAAATAACAACAGATTGCTATAAACTCAGGAAAAGTAGTCAAAGCAGAAAAACAGAAAAAGGAAAGATACACACCAGCTTCAGAATAGTGGTTAGTTATTTTAAAGGAATGAAGGGAAAAGGGGTGGAATCAGAAAAGGATAAAAAGGGCCTTCAATTGCTCTGTAACTTTTTTCCTTTAAAAAAAATCCAAGAAAAAAATTGCAAATTGTCAAAATTGTTAAATTCTGGGTGGTGGGTACACAGCAGTTTGACATGTTATTCTCTGTACTTTGTCTTATGTTTGAAATATTTTATATTTGAAATAAAATACACAAAATAAAGGGTGGAGCAACTTGGTTAGGTAAGGTGTGCAGGAAGGTAGCCTCAGCATCTTGTGTCCTTAAATGATCCACTTTGCCACGTGGTAAAGTGTCCAAGAACTTTAAGACATCTGCACTGTAAGATAAACAGCAGAAAGAGCACTAACCAAGGACACAGAATATTTGGGTTCCAGTTCCTAGCTATTTTACTAGCTATGAAACTTTGGTTGAGAAACTTAGCCACGTTGAGACTCATTGTCTTGTCCTGGGTGGTGCAAAGTAATTACAATACGGTTATGAAATTCCAAAAGCAATAATAATAGCTTGTATTTATTGAGTGTTTATTATGTATCAGGCATAACTCTGAATACTCTAGATGTATTAACCCAGCTAGTTTTGATTTTTGTACTGTCTTAGTCTATTTTCTGTTGCTATAACTGAATACCCAAGACTGGGTAATTTATAAAGAAAAGAATTTTATTTCTTTCAATTCTGGAGGCTGGGATGTCCAAGGTTGAGGCACTACATTCGGTGAGGGTCTTCTTAGTGGTCGGAACTCTCTGCAGAGTCCCGAGGTGGTACAGGGTATCACACGGCAAGGGGGCTCATGAGAGATCACCAAACTAGCTTTTATAACAGACCCACTCCCATGATTACTAACCCACTCCCACAATGACCCATGAGTGGATTAATCCCAATAATCTCCCAAAGATTCCACCTCTCAACACTACTGCATTGTGGACCAGGTTCCCAACACATGAAATTTGGGGGAACACTATAGCATGTAGGTTGAATGTAGTTGAAATTGGGTATACTGATTCCTTCCACTTTATTCCTTTTCAAAATTGTTTTAACTATCCTAGTTCTTTTGTATTTCTATACACATTTTAGCTAATCTTGTCTATATACACAAAAAATCTTGCTGGGGTTTGGTAGAAATTGTGATCTCCGTCTTATGCCAAGATGTCTCCTCAGAATTTGCACTAAATCTGTATACAAATTTGAAGAGAACTGCATGTTTAATATGTTGAGCCACAAACATGTTATGCCTTTCCAATTATTAAGATCTTTGATTTATTTAATTAGCACTTTATAGTTTTCAACATACAAGTTCTGTACATATTTTGTTGTATTTACACCTAAGTGTTTCTTTTTATTGAGTGATTTTAAATGGTATTATCAATTTTTGATGTCTGCATGTTCATTGTTAGTATACAAAAATAAAATTTATGTTTGTATATTGATCTTGTACGCTGTGACCTTGCTGAACTCACTTAGTTGTAGGAGTATGTTGGTAGATTCCTTAGGATTTACTATGAAGACAATCAAATTGTGCAAAAAGTAACAGTTTCTTTTTCCCTTTTTCAAGATGTATACTTTTGACTGGGCCAGTAGCTCATGCCTGTAATCCCAGCACTTTGGGAGGCCAAGGTGGGCGGATCACCTGAGAGGTCAGGAGTTTGAGACGAGCCCGGGTAACATGGTGAAACCTGTCTGTACTAAAAACACAAAAATTAACTGGGCGCAGTGGCGGGCACCTGTAATCCCAGTTACTCGGGAGTCTGAGGCAGAATTGCTTGAACCCAGGAGGTGGAGGTTGCAGTGAGCGGAGATTGCGCCACTGCACTTCAGTCTGGGTAACAGAGTGAGACTCTGTCAAAAAAACAAAAGATGTATGCTTCTTATTTCCTTTTCTTGCCCTTTTGCACTCATGTTACACTATGCTGAATTGGAGTGGTGAGAGTGGACATTCACACCTTGTTCCAGGTCTTAGGGGCAAAGCATTCAAACTTTCACCATTAAGTAAAACCTTAGCTCTAGAGTTTTGTTGTTGTTGTTGTTGTAGCAGATACTCTTCCTTATGTTGAAGAAGCTCTCCTCTATTCCTATTTTTCTGAGATTTTTATTATAAATATGTGTTAAATTTTGTCTAATGCTTTTTTTGTATTAATTGATATGAACATGTAATTTTCTGCCTTAGTTGGTTAATTTGGTAGATTACATTGACTTTCAAATATTGAACCAGTCTTACATCCCTAACATCCCTAAAACAAACCCTACTTGATCATGGTGTATGATTCTTTTTGTTTTTGTTTTGAGATGGAGTCTCGCTCTGTCACCTAGCTGGAGTGCAGTGGTGCGATCTCGGCTCCCTGCAACCTCCGCCTCCCGGGTTCAAGCAATTCTCGTGCCTCAGCCTTCCCAGTAGCTAGGATTACAGGCACATGCCACCGTACCCGGCTAATTTTTGTATTTTTAGTAGAGACAGGGTTTCACCATGTTGGCCAGGCTGGTCTTGAAGTCCTGACCTCAAGTGATCTGCTTGCCTCGGCCTCCTAAAGTGTTGGGACTATAGGCGTGAGCCACCATGTCCAGCCTATTTCTGTATATTACTGAATGCTATTTGCTAATATTTGGTTAAGGATTTTTATATCTACATTCATGAAGACTACTGGTGTACAGGCTTATTTTTTTTACATTGTCTTTGGTTTTGATAGTGAAGTAATACTAGCTCATAAACATAACTGAAACGTGTTTTCTCATCTCTTTTTTTGGAAGAGATTGTGTGGAATCGATGCTGGTTATTCTTTAAAAGTTTGTAGAAATCTGCCAGGTGAGGTGGCTCATATCTATAATCTTAGCACTTTGGGAGGCCAAGGTGGGAGGATCACAAATCTCTGGTGAAATAATCTAGTCCTGAAGATATCTTTTTTTGGGGGGATTTTAAAATTACGAAGTCAATTTCCTAATTATAGGGCTCTTCAGATTATCTATTTCTTATTGTCTATTTCTTACTGTTCTGTTTTCAAGTTCGTTAATTCTTTCCTTTGCATCCTCATTCTGCTGCTGAGCTTATTCACTGAGTTTTAACATTGTGATGATTGTATTTTTGATTTTTTAAAATTCCCATTTGGTTTTTCCTTATGTCTTTTATTTCTTTGCTGAGACTTCCTATTTTTCTCTTTAGTTTTAAGCATGTTTTCAATTGCTCATTGAAGCATTTTTGTCACAGTTATTTGAAAATCTTTGTGAGATAATTCTAACATCTCTTTCATCAGCGTCTGTTGATTTTTTTTTCATTCAGTTTGGGATCTTCCTGTTTCTCGGTATGACAAGTAATTGAAACTTGGACATTTGGGGTATTATATTATGACATTCCTGATATTAAACCTTTTATTTTAGCTGACTTCCATGGGCACTGCTGTAAAGGGGGAAGTAAAGGGGTGCCACCTCATTATTGCAAGGTGGCATTAGAAATCTAGGTTTCCTACTTAGTCTTTGCTGGAATGAGTGGGGCTGGAGCCCCATGGCTTTTTGTGGTATTTGGCTGGAGTAGAGACTTATTGTCTAAAAAGTGTTCTGTCTTTCTAGGCTATTCCTTTCCTGGTCCTTTTGCCAGAGAGAGAAGGCTTTTGTTGTTTTTGTTGCTGTTTGGTCTGTGCCTGTTGACATTTCTGGGTTGCCAGCTTCTTCAGCATCAGCTCTGGGATTAACGAGGTAAAAAGAAAACCCTGGGCACTTACACAATGTCATTCCTTGAGTCAGGAGATCTCAGCTCATCTGTCATTTTATCTCCATCTTCCAGAGTCTTGTTATGTTTATATATAATGTCCAGGGTTTTTAGTTGTATTTAGCAGAAATAATACGAAAGAAATGCATCTACTCCATCTTCTCAGAAGCAGAAATCCTTGCTCTTTGCCTTTTACAGTCACATTTTCTTAAGATCCATTGCTACCAAAAATAGCCTACTCTTTTCGTACCCTTTTCTAACTACTTGACCTATCTACTGAAAACAAACTCAAAATGATGACTTCCTCATAAGAGGCGATGTAAAAGAATCTGAAACTTTGTGTCTAACCCCCTTATTTAAAGAAATACCAAGGTATCTGCACATAGCCACAGTATCAAAATGGCTGGTCAGATATACATTTATTAACGTTGCTCATGTCTGAAGGCCATCTCTAAAAAAAGAGAGCAGAACATTCTGGATTCAAAATGCATACATAGCTCACCTTCACCGTCACAGCATTCTAGGATAGAAGGGTCTTCCCGAATCACTGCAGTCAGAGCATTGACATCTCCATTAGAGGCTGCCTGATAAACCATGGTCAGGTCAACTTCCTCGGATGAGTCACCTTCATGCATCAAACAGACACAATGTTAGTGTGTAGAGCCAGTTCGCTGAAAGAATAACAATACCCAAGTCCTCACCCACACAAGTGATTCATTAAAACTTCTCAAGTGAATCCAGGCAGAAGACTGAGTCATCCTGGCCACACACTCCCTCACCACTTCTGAAGAAAGGAGGATCACTCATGCCATTTGTAACACCGCTGTGTACTGGAAAGGAACCTGAGGGATTGGATGTCATTTGAGATTTTCTGATTCTTTCCAGACATTCAGGCTTCTCGAAGTCAGTGAGCCCAGAGAGGAAAGTGGGGCCCTCATCTCGGTTCTGCATTGCCCTTTTTGATCTGGAGCATGTTCCTTGTACTCTCAATGACTCAGTTTACCACCTTTGAAAGAGACATTGTGCTCTCTGTTTTCTGATCTCCAGATGTAGAGGGTGAGCCGGCCTTTCCCACCCTATTCTGTATCCTGAGGACTGACCCTTGCCGAGTGCTCCACCCAGGCTCCCTCACCCTCTTGCTTGCCCATGAAAGGCATGGGCAGGAGCCTGGTGGGGAGAAGAGAGAGAAGGGACATTTCTTCCTGCCTTCCCCTAGTGCAGTGTTCGGCAGGAGCCACTTCTCTCCCACCAGGAGGCTCTTTCTTGGCAGAGCCAGTCTCTTTCTCTACAGAGTCAGTTTCACTGGGTTCCCTGATAAAATGGTCCCCTCCCATGCTTCTTTCGCTTCCCACTGATGTTAGTCTGTGGAGCTTCAGCATCCCCAGTTCATCCTTTCAGCCCCGCTTCATTTCTGCAAGCTGTCCCTTCATGAAAGTCTCTTCATTTCAACCACCTGGGATTTCATGAGATGGAATTCCCGGAAGAAACAGAACTGTAGGCAACTCCTTTGAATTTTGTAGCCACCTGCATTGTGCCTTGGGCACAACTGAACCAACTAATACATGGTCAACGAATGGCTTACGTCTGTAATCTCAGCACTTTGGGAGGCTGAGGTGGGAGGACGGCTTGAGCCCAGGACTTCGAGATCAGCCTGGGCAACACAGTGAGACCCTCTCTCTACAAAAATTTTAAAAAGTAGCTGGGCATGGTGGTGGGTACCTGTAGTCCCAGGTACTCAGGAAGGTGAGGCAGGAGGATCACTTGAGCCCCAGAGTTCAAGCAGTGAGCTATGATTGTGCTACTATACTCCAGCCTGGATAACAGAGTGAGACCTTGTCTTAAAAAACAAACAAAAAGGCGACAAGAGAACTATAGATCAAGTGGGGCCAGGCGCAGTGGCTCATGCCTGTAATCCAGGCACTGTGGGAGGTCGCGGCGAGCGGATCACTTGAGGTCAGGAGTTCAAGACCAGCCTGGTCAACTTAGTGAAACCCTGTCTCTACTGAAAATACAGAAAAACAAGCTAGGTGTGGTGGCATGCGCCTGTAATCCCAGCTACTTGGGAGGCTGAGGCAGGAGAATCGCTTGAACCCGGGAGGCAGAGGGTGCAGTGAACCAAGATCGCACCACTGCACTCCCGCCTGGGTGACAGAGCGAGACTCTGTCTCAAAAACAAACAAACAAAGAACTGTGGTTAAGTGGAGCACAGGGAGGCCTGGGCGGTGAGTTCTGCTCAAGAGGAGGCCTCCAGGGAGAGGCTGTGCTGATCGACTCATACACAGTTCCTCCCATGCACGCCTCCTCTGCCCCGAATGCATAATATTGTCCAGGGAAAAAATATGTGTGTAAGAAAATGTTTTTTGGCCAAGCGCAGTGGCTCACGCCTTTAATCCCAGCACTTTGGGAGGCTGGGAGTTTGAGACCAGCCTTCCCAACATGGAGAAACTCCATCTCTACTAAAAATACAAAAAATAAGCTGGGCATGGTGGCGCATGCCTGTAATTCTAGTTATTTGGGAGGCTGAGGCAGGAGAATTGCTTGAACCTAGGAGGCAGAGGTTGCAGTGAGCCGAGATGGTGCCACTGCACTCCAGCCTGGGCAACAAGAGTGAAACTCCATCTCCAGAAAAAAAAAAAAAAGAAAAAAAGGTTTTTTTAAGTTGTGTTTTTCTGCTAATGTGGACATTATGTCAAAGATGCTTTTTAGTTTTCAGTTCTAATTGATCTTTAGTTGGCAGTGGACCTAACCCTTTGCCTCGGTTTCTCTGTCCCAGTATTTTTGGGAAGTCATAAGTGACTTTTAGCCAGTTGACCTGTCTGTCCCCAAAGGAACTTGTTATTGGAAATATTTCATTTATGGCAACAAACTGTTTTGTAAAGTGAGTGGTTGTTCCCTAACTTATTTTGTTGTTTTCCTGTGTTTGTTTTAGGCGGACTCACTTGCACATTTGCCTGGGGGCCAGAAGTGAGAGAGGAGGAGTGTCCAGGTCAAATGCTACTCCTGTGATGAGCACAAGGACTATGGAGCCAGACAACTTCAGTATCAGTCCCAGTTTGCACTGACCAGCTGTGTGGATTTGGGCCATCCTCTTTCCAGGCCTTCGTTTCTTCATTTTGTTTGTTTGTTTGTTTGTTTATTTGAGACAGGGTCTTGTTGGTTAACCCAGGCTGGAGTGCAGTGGCGTGATGTTGGCTCACTGCAGCCTTGATCTCCCAGGCCCAAGTGATCCTCCCATCTCAGCCTCCTGAGTAGCTGGGACTACAGACACGCACCACCACACCCAGCTAATTTTTGTATTTTTTGTAGAGATGGGGTTTTGCCATGTTGCCCAGGCTGGTCTCCTAACGATCCTCCCACCTTGGCCTCCCAAAGTGCTGGGATTTATAGGCGTGAGCCACTGTTCCTGGCCAGTTTCTTTGTCTTTAAAATGAAGGTAATAATGATGATAATTATGACAACTACCTACCTCTCTTATAAGCTTGTTGTGAGGAAAGAAATAAGTTAATATTTAATTCTGTGTGCTTTTAGAACAAGGCCTGGCATATAATAGTGTATATATTTGCTATGACTATTGCTACTTAAAAAAATTTTTTTTGGTGTGTTTAGAAAGCATTAGAAATCTGGGGCATGTAGAGAAAATAGTCTCTTGTTGATGATGATTAGACAAAGACTTCATAAATTGCACAGAACGTTAATCTCCATTAGGAAACTTCCCAGGACTCTAGACGTTTTAAGATTTCTCACAATATATTTGGGCACAAGAAATAGGGCCCAGAAATAGGACAAAAATGGAGCTGGTATCTGGTTGTGTGACCACAGCCAAAGATGCTGGTGGTATCACTTCAGGAAGAAGATCCTGGTGGTAGGCTGAGGAGCTCTGTGTTTAATAGCCTGTTCATATGTTATATAATGTGCCTATATAACAGACATAAATGTATTTACAATCCATTCATCACTGAGTGCATTAAAATATGCAAGGCACATTCATCACACTGTTGACCACATACAGCTGAGAGAAACAATGAATGCATTGCCTGATAGAATTATGATCCCCAAATATCTTGCCAGAAATCTAATTAGATGGTGTTTAATAGGGCTAAACGTAGAGTAACATATTGAAAGACAGGACCAGCTGATTTCCTAGGCCAACTAAGAATCCCTAAGCCTAGCTGGGAAGGTGACTGCATCCACCTTTAAACACAGGGCTTGCAACTTAGCTCACACCTGACCAATCAGGTAGTAAAGAGAGCTCACTAAAATGCTAATTAGGAAAAAACAGAAGGTAAAGAAATAGCCAATCATCTATCGCCTGAGAGCACAGCGGGAGGGACAATGATCGCGATATAAACCCAGGCATTGGAGCCAGCAACGGCTACCCTCTTTGGGTCCCCTCCCTTTGTATGGGAGCTCTGTCTTCACTCTATTAAATTTTGCAACTGCACTCTCTTCTGGTCCATGTTTGTTACCGCTCGAGCTGAGCTTTCGCTCATGTCCACCACTGCTGTTTGCCCCTGTCACAGACCCGCCGCTGACTTATATCCCTCTGGATCTGGCAGGGTGTCCACTGTGCTCCTGATCCAGCAAGGCGCCCATTGCCGCTCCCAATCAGGCTAAAGGCTTGCCATTGATCCCTCACGGCTAAGTGCTCAGGTTCGTCCTAATCAAGTTGAACACTAGTCACTGGGTTCTAGGTTCTCTTCCGTGACCCACAGCTTCTAATAGAGCTGTACCACTCACCACATGGCCCAAGATTCCGTTCCTTGGAATCCATGAGGCCAAGAACCCCAGGTCAGAGAACACGAGGCTTGTTACCATCTTGGAAGTGGCTCACCATTTTGGAAGTGGCCCGCCACCATCTTCGGAGCTCTAAGAACAAGGACCCCTGATAACAATATCGTAGTCCACAAAATATCCAGTTGAACTAATTGAAGGGTGGTTAAGTATGTAGTTTTTGCACTCAACTTCCCCTCTCCCTGTTGATAAGATTAACCTGTTTATTCTCTAGGGACTACTTCCTCTCCTCTTCTAGCCCTCAGGCTGATTCAGTGGAATTGACTATATCCCTTGGTCAGGGGCAGAACACGTGGCTTAGAACTAAGCCACTCAGCACTAGCATTATCCTGGCCTTGGAGACTGACTCAGGGATGTGACCCAATTAGACCCCATGATGACAAGCAATGATACGTTTGATATATTGACTGGGGTTGTCGAGAACAATACTGTCACTTTATTCTAGCATCCATGAACCTGGAAGCCACCTGGTGACATATTTCTCTTACCAGAGAAAGGTGGAGAGCTTTTCCCTGCCCCCTACACCTCCCCCCACCAATAAAAAAAAAAAAAGAAAAAAGAAAAAAGAAATATTAGCCTAGATCAATGTCCCGAAGCATTTCCCCAGTGTTTTCTTCTGGTAGTTTCATGTCTTATATTTAAATCTTTAATCCATTTTGATTTGACTTTTGTATACGGTGAGGGATAGGGGTCTAGTTTTATTCTTCTGCATATAGATATCCAGTCTTCCCAGCACCATTTATTGAAGAGACTGTTCTTTCCCCAATGTATGTCTTGGTGGCTTTGTTAAAAATGAGTTGACTGTAAATGTGTGAACTTGTTTCTGGAACCTCGATTCTGTTCCATCGGTCTACGTGGCTGTTTTTATGTCAGTATCGTGCTATTTTGGTTACTATAGCTTTGTAGTATAATTTGAAGTCAAGTAATGTGATGCCTTCAGCTTAAGTCAATTTACATAGATTTTGTGTATTCATTTGGATTTTCTTTATTCATTTGGATTTTCTTTTTAATCACTGAAAAAGTTCTGACCGATAAAACGTTTTAAAAAAGAACTTGGAGTTTTAGTTGGAAAATTAGCTCTATAGAAATAAACAGCGTTGTAATAAATTAGGAGGAAGTCTGGCTGAATTACCAAATCTAGTAGCCATATTGAGGGCAGTGATAGGCCTTTTCCATTCTTAACTGGTCAGTGTCATATTGAGGTCTATGGTCTCAATTAAACAGGGGTATAGTGGCTGGAGAACACTCAGAGGTGAGTGCCTAGAGGTATGAATGGACTTTAATCAAGTCACGTGAAGAATGGTTGAAGGAAATAAATGTGTCTACTCTGATGATTATTCCATGGGGTCATGATAGTAGCCTTCAGATAGTTAGAGTTTTTTTTTAATTAAAAAAATTGTGCAGGAGGGTGAGGCAGGAGAATGGCACAAACCCGGGAGGTGGAGCTTGCAGTGAGCCAAGATCGAGATTGCGCCACTGCACTCCAGCCTGGGTGACAGAGCGAGACTCCATCTCAAAAAAAAAAAAAAAGAAAAAAATTGTGGTAAAAGATACATAAAATTTGAAATGTTAACCATTTAAGTGTACTTACAGTTCAATGACATTATGTCTATTCACACTGTTGTGTGACCATCACTGAAACTCATCTTTTCATCTTTCAAATCTCTGTACTCATTAGACTGTAACTTCCCATTCTTTCCTGTCCCCAGTCCCTGGAAACCACTATTCTACTTTCTGTCTATTAATTTGACTACTAAAGGCACCTCATGTATGTGGAATCGATAACGATTGTCCTTTCGTGACTGGCTTATTTCACGTAACATAATGTCCTCAGGGTTCATCCATGTTGTAGAATGTGTCAGAACTGTCTTCCTTGTTAAGATTTAATAATATTTAATTGTATGTATGCATCACATTTTGTTTATTCATTACCTGTCAATGGACACTTGGGTCATTCCCATCTTTTGGCTATTGTGAATAATGCTGCTGTGAACATGGGTCTACAAATCTTTTTGCATTCCTGCTTTCAATTCTTTTGGGTATATACTCAGAAGTGAAATTGTTGGATCATGTGATAATTCCATTTTTAATTTTTGAAACAACCACCATACTGTCTTCCAAACGGCTGCACCATTTTGTATTTCCACCAAAGTGCACAAGAGTTTCAATTTCCCCATTTCCTTGCTAACACTTATTATTTATTGTTTGGTTTTTAAAAAAATAATAGCCATCCTAATGAGGGTGAAGTGGTATTTCATTGTGGCTTTGATTTGCATTTCTCTAATATTAGTGACAGTGAGCATTTTTACATGTGCTTATTGGCTATAGGCATATCTTTCAAGAAATGTCTATTCAAATCCTTTGCCCATTTTTGAATTAAGTTGTTTGGCGTTTTGTTGCTGGGTTGTAGGAGTTCTTTATATATTCTGAATATTAAACCTTTATCAGGTATATGATTTGCAAATATTTTCTCTCATTCTGTGGGTTACCTTTTCATTCTGTTGATAGTTGATGACAAAGCTTTTAATTTTGATGTAGTCTAATTTGTCTATTTTTTCTTTTGTTGTCTGTGCATTTGATGTCATAGTCAAGAAATCATTGCCAAATCCAGTGTCATGAAGCTTTTCCATATGCTTTTTTCTATGAGTTTTACAGTTTTAGGTCTTATGTTTAGGTCTTTGATCCATTTTGAGTTAACTTTTATATATGGTGTAAAGTAAGGGTTCAAATACATTTTTTTCCATGTGGCTATCCTGTTTTTCCAACATCATTCATTGAAAATACTATTGTCTTAGTCTGTTTCCTGCTGCTATAACACAATACTATAGACTGGGTAATTTATAAATAAACTTATTTGGTTCATGGTTCTTGAGGCTAGGAAGTCCAAGGGCATGGTGCCAACATGTGGTGAGGATGATCTCATGGCAGAAGGGTGAAAGGCAGAAGTGAGCATGCGAGACAGAAGAGGAAATCAGGCCAAACTCATTGTTTTTATCAGACACCCATGCCAGAGACCTCTAACGCACTCCTAATATAACAGTATTAATCAATTCATGAGAGCAGAGCCTTCATGCCCCAATCACCTCTAAAAGCACCACCTCTTAATACTGTTACAATGACAGTTAAATTTCAATACAACTTTCAGTGGGAACATTCAGGTCATAGCAACTATTCTTTCCCTATTGAATGGTCTTGGCACTCTTGTCAAAAATCAGTTGACCATAAATGTATGGGATTATTTCTGGACTTTCAGTTCTATTCTGCTGATCTATATGTCTGTCTGTATGCCAGTACCACACTGTTTTCACTACTGTAGCTTTGTAGTAAGTTTTGAAATCAGGAAGTGTGAAACCTCCAAC